TGGCACAACCAGGACTCCAACCTGGCCAAACTGAGCAATTGGGGGAGAAGATCCTTAGTAAGAGAGCTGACCAAGAACCTGACTGTCACTCTGATTGATCTCCAGAGATCCTGTGTGGCGATGGGACAGAGTTCCAGAAGGACAACCATCACTGCAGCCCTCCACCGATTTGGGCTTTAGCAGAGTAGCTAGACAGAAGCCTATTCTTAGTACAAAATATATGAAAGTGTGATTGGAGTTTGCAAAAAAGCACCTGAAGGATTCTCAGACTATGAGGAATAAGATTCTCTGGTCTGATACCACCAATAATTGAACTCTTTGGCCTCAATTCTAAATGTTATGTCTGGAAGAAACCAGACACCGCTCATCACCTGCACAATGAAGCATGGTGGTGGCAGCATAATACTGTGGGGTGTTATTCAGCAGCAAGGAGACTGGTCAAGGTTGAGGTAAAAGTAAATGGAGCAAAGTACAGGGATATCCTCAATTAAAACCTGCTCCGCTAAAGACTGAGCCGAAGGTTCACTTTCCAACATGACAATGACCCTAAACACAGCTAAGACATATTAAGTGATTTCCCCCTCCCCCCCAAAAAATTGCATCTTTACTAATACTTTGAATATTTTATCCTGGCAAAGTAGTTGAGAGCTACATGGATCCTTGGGAAGTTTAAGAAGCAAATTTGAAATAAGTAAACAATTGATGAGTTGATACTCCCTTGGGTACCCAAGACACTTTGCTGGGTGCAACCGGATGGGAAACATAGCAATAGGGGAAGCAGGAGCTGCCTAACTTGAGTCTGACTATTAGTGTTAGGTCTGAGTCTGACTGTTGGTTACCAAAACTGGATGCAGTATTCCAGACAACACCTGTAATACCATATTCAGTTTTGCTTACCACATTATAAAAAAGATGTTGAATCTTTGGGGAAAAAGCAAAGAAGAGCAACTAAGATTATTAAAGTCCTGGAGACTAAAACATATGAAGAATTGTTGCAGGATTTGGATATAGCTAGTCTAGAGAAAAGAAGGACTAGGGAGGACATAATAACAGTATTCTAGTATTTGAGATGCTGCCAGAACGAAGATGGCCTCGGCTTATTTTCTAAAAAGCACCCAAAGGCCAGACAAGAAGCAATGGATGGAAACTAATCAAAGAGAAAAGCAACCTGGAATTAAGAACAGTAAGAACAATTAACCAGTGGAACAGCTTGCCTCCAGAAGTTGTGGGTGCTCCATGACTGAAGGTTTTTAAGAGAAGAATGGACATCCACCTGTCTGAAATGATATAGGGTCTCTTGTTTGAGCAGGGAATTGGACTAGAAGTCTCTTCCAGCTCTATTCTGATTAATTGATTGATTGATTGATTGATTGATTAGATTTCTATATCCCTTGGACATTGAAGAATCACCTTACAGGGGAGATAACTGACATAAAATTAATAAAATACAATTAGTATTTTGACCTGAAAGAAAAGGGATGTGTTTTCTAAGTCAAAATTGATTGGAAGGAGTCACAAACCTTCATACTATTTACCAGAAGCTGAAGATTTATATTTATTTTTAACATTAGTCTCATAAGTCTATTTCAAAATTTAGCTTTTCCCTTTTCCTTACTCCAAAGTTTCATTAAGTTTTAACATAGTAACATTTGACATTTCAAGGTAAAATGGAAAGGTTAAAAATATAGCATGGTAATAAATAATATTTGTTCAAAAACATGTAGGAAACTCTTAGTACTTTGAACCTGAATTGCTTATTTTTTTAACATTCATCCCTCTTAGAGCACCGTTCAAAGAATAATTTTATTTAACAAATTCCCTGTAGAGGAAATGACACATTTTCATTGTATCAGTCAATTATCTTTGACACATGCTTATCAAGGTTGATCAATCACTGCTGATAAGTCTGCTAAGCTATTCTTTTTCAACTAAAAAAACCTGACATGAGAATTAACACACCCAATTGCCCAGACTGATGATCAATATTGACTATCAATACCAGTAGTGTTTGCTAGTGTCAATCACTTCACGTGATCACTTAGATCACTTCACAATGATCTAACCTAATTGCATACCACTTTATATCTGAGAATGGAAAATATGATATTCTCATATTGAAACCATTGACAAATCATAGAATAAATCCAAGGCTTAAATTAAATGACTTGAAATTCTACTAAACTGTATGTACTATCCATCAAAATGAAAGGTTGACAATAGTTATATTTTCAAAAATAAAAAATAAGACATTTTAAAATCCACTTTAAAATACCAATGTGTTGGTCTGACATTATGTTTAATGCATTTACAACAAAACATTTTCCCAATTAGATCATTTTTTTTAATTCTCTCTATATAGTGTAGTTTAAATGTTCTAAATCGTAGCATCCTGTATTGCATCTCCAAGAAGGTTCTCTGAAGTCTGATAACCTTGTTAGGCTGTACAAGTATGAGATAGAGATAATCTCTTAACAGTAGCAGAAGTAATCTTCACAACCTAGTCTATTCATAATACTAACTCATCACTTCCACAAAATCTGTCTGTGATTTCTATGCTCTCGTACTATGGTTAAGCTAAGTTATTTATCATTCTTAAGAGAAATTATGCATTCAAGTTAAATCAACTGTTCAGCATGCAGTCATTTTAGTACAGTATATATTAACCTTGATATTCGGTCAAGTTCAAATTTTAGATATACGTTCTTCAAACTTGATTGCTTTCAGATAGCAGCATACTAAGAAGCACCGGTCACAATAATAAATGTACATTGAAATTATATTTTTATAAATAGAAACATTCATATAAGATTCCAAATGCCATGATATGGTTACACCCCCTCCAAAAAAAGTTTCCTCAGAGAGTAGTCTGCAACTTTTATCAAGGGTGTAATTAGACAGGAAAAAATGGCTTAAGTTTGACATCATGAGTCACAGTTTTAACTGAAATAAGGAAGTAACTAAATTCAAATTAGGCTTCTCAAGATGCTGCAATGATTTTAAGTTGCACTTGAAATTGTATTTATTCTCAGATAGAAACTCATTTTTAAGTGGCAAATAAATATTATATATGACATCTTAACTATAGACTAAATCCTCTATGTATCCATTTACCAATCAATATTTTGCTAAACATGAGTAACAGGTGACTTCAATATTGTCACAGGAAGGAAAAAAATCAACCATACTTTGTTAAGTCACTTCGAGGTGCTATGAAGTTAACTTAAGAAATTTAGGATTGATAAGAGAAGAACCCTATAACCAAATATTTGATTTTGTTGAATAAACCATAGATTTTGTTTTCCTTTTGTTGTTGTAAAATGTTTCCAAATCTATTGCAAGTGGTTAATCTGTGCAAGTGGTTGATATGCTCTCTTTTTAATACATATGCAAGGATCAATTATTTTTTTCTTTTGCCAATGCTCTAAAATTTCTTATTTGAAACATTTTTGCTATTTTGCAAGTGGAGAATTAAACATGGCCAGATTATCCTAATATTTTGATAGGAGAAAATATTGATTGTTATCTACAAGTAAACTTGATTTAATATTCACACTGACAGTTTCAATATTGTATGTGGCAAATATAGGAAATAATCAAGAAAATACCATCAAGAGTTTTAGATAACTGCATTTAATATGTTCAAGGATATTTTCATTATCTTCTAAGTTGTACACATATTATGGCAGGAAATTCTCTAAGTACCAGAAGTAAAAAATATAGACCTAACATTCATGTAAGGTAATATTTTTCAGGAATCACATTAGAATCTACAGTTGGGTGTTCCAAGTGCTATTGAAGATTTATCTTAAAAACATACATCTGTCTTAATTATATATACATTAAAGCTGTCATCTAAAATTCTGGGTTTCCTCAGGGGAAAAAAACCAGAAAAATAGGTTTTCAGTATTTGTTAGATGTGGCTTCTATTTATCGGATGGGTGTCACATTCTATTAAGTTTTAGGCCTCTGTTCAGTGTCCAATAATAAGTATACCTCCTTTTACAAATCACTACAAACAAGAAAGCATGGAGCAACAAGCTAACTTGCATAATATTAAACCCCAAGCCATAAGGACTGGAGACAATTTACATTTAAATTGTCAAGCTTTATTTGGTAACTTTATTCCTAGGCTAATGTTCAACTTGATGTCTCTAAATATTTTGAACTGGCTATCACTTCTCGCCAAGAAGAAATCATTTACTACAAATGGACAAGACAGTCATGGGATCTCAATATTTGATGTCAATCCTCCTTTACTAAACCTTTGGCTCGCCCATTCGGTTTTAAGAAACGAATTTCTCAGATTGCTGATTACACCAACCAATATTTAGAAATGTCTTTATGGGACATTTCTCACTTAATAGCACCTTTGTCAGAGTTATTTAATTTTTAAATATAATGTTATTGAAAGTTTTAAAACAAGGAAGGTTAATCAATCTTAATATTAATACAGAAATAGAGTAAAATAGAGTAAGAAGGAAAAAAGAAAAAGAAATAAAGAGAAAGTTAAAGAGCAAAAAGAAAAAAGTAGAAAACCAGAAAAGAAAGATAAGTGGCTTCCAATCTTTTCAGCAATTCAAAAAGTGGAATACTAGATTTATCTCTTTTTCTAAAGTTAAAACATGACTGTTTCCATAGCCTACCCATATACTTCATCAAAACCAATATATTACAGGTTGATTTGTTTTCTGGTTCTTTGCAAAAAGCTTATAAGTATTTTCCAGTCAGCAATAAACCTAAATTTCCTAAATTCAATTTTGTTGAATGTTGAATTAAATATTGCTATTCAATATTAAAAAAGCACTGTTCTAAACAAATACCCTCATTAAGTTCTTTGGTTAACTTAGAATAATAGATGAACTTATAAGATTACAGGAACAACCACCAATATTCTATTATATTCTTAAAATCTGCAGTGTGATCTGGACAGTCCAGGCGGATATTTTCTGTTTCGTTAGCAATTAGCGCTAGGAAGGAAAGATAGCACAGAAACCACTTACTTGAACCTGCCTTGGCAATGCTGGCACTGATCCCCCACCCAGCCTTGATCACAGAGGCAGCTGGAATTGACACATCGACCAGAAAAGCACGAGGTTCTTTCACAAGTCTTCGACTGGGAAACTTGGGCATACAGCACCAGGTAGAGGATCCCGTAAAAGAGCAGCCAGTTATTTATATCCATGAAGGTAGCAAAGCAGCAGGAGGAGGAAGAAAAAGGTCTCCAGGTTCCCAGGATTACAGGAGGGCCTTCTATTCTGCGCAGGACTTTCCCCAACAGATCCAGCATCTTTGCCCACAAAGCACATCCGCAACCGGCCTGCCTGACGAACCGCGACAGGAGAGTAAGGAAGGCTGAATTAATCCAGTTCCTCGGGCAGGCTTAAGCAGGAGGAAAGCCGCCCCGCGCACATCACTCAAAAGGAGGCGCTTTTAAAGAGGCTGAAGAAACGGGGCGCAGACGAGGCTGGAGCTGCAGACTCCCCGAAGATAATTACAACAGGAAAACCGAGACGCTTCCTCCCTTCCTCGCTTCTCACACAGCAACCTCCGCCGGGCTCTTCGGGTACAACGCAGGCGACTCGCTTCCCGCCTCCTCTTCCTCGTCGTCCTTGGGGCTCATTGCCCCCCACTTTCCATGAGCAGAGGCTTCTCTCCTGCCTTGGCCGCTTCTTCTCACCACATGGCCCCGCTCGCCGTGTCCGGCTCTCCCACAGCCCGCAAAATAAAATTAAAAAAGAAAGCCCCCTCTCTTCCTCCGCCTCCTGTAGTCCCGACTCTTGCAGCAGCAGCAGCAGCAACGGGAGAGCAAGGAGATGGGGGGGGGATGCTCTGGCTCCTTCAAGGCAAAGGAGGGCGCCTTTCCTCAACGTCCTCCCAGCATCCCCGAGCAGCGGGCCGGAGGCCGGGAGGGAAGCGCCTTACAAGCGGGGGCGTGTGGGAGGGAAGGAAGGGAGAGAGTTAAAAGCCTCCGTCTGTCCCAGCTGACACTTTGTAAGCAGCCATTTTTAAAAGGCTAATTGTAAGCTGCTTTCGGAGGCTACCAGGCTGGCTGGCTGGGGCCGAATCCCTCCTCTTCCTCCTTTCGACTCCCCTCCCCTCCTCTTCCCCAGCTCCGCCGGTCTGATTAGACCCGTCCCTTTCTTTTGGGCTGCCAGGCAGGCCCCGCCTCAGCCGGGGAAAAGACTGGAAAAGACTCCGTTACGGGTGCCTCGTTGCTGGAGCAACTGCCCCGGAAAGGATGGAGAGCCACTAAACGTCCCTTGCCATTTCTGAGCCCCAGCACAGAAAGTGAAGGCAGCGCGCTTCCCTCCCGCCCCCCCTCCACCCCGGGAAAGTTCGTGCCGCGGTTTCGGGCGGCCTCAAAATCGAAAAGAGTCTCGCTCTCTCTTCCGTCTTTGGGATTGCAACGCTCCAGCCTCTCCGCCGCCTTTGCAGGGGAGCCCTAGAAAGAAAGTACTACACAAAGAGGAGCTGAGCATGTGCGGCAGCCAAGGAGCACCCCCCCCACCCCCCGTTTAAAGGCGCAGCGCCCGTCTCCCTTGCATCACTTAGAGCGTGACCCGCCGGGAGGGAAGCGCGCGAGAGAGGCGGGGGGGGGGCGAGAGGGAAGAGAAGCGCGGGATCCGCCGGGGAAGGGGGCGAGCGCGCGCGCAGCGGNTGTGTGTGTGTGTGTGTGTGTGTGTGTGTATAATGTTTGAAGAATTGTAACAAAGTCAGAAGTATAATGTAAAATAAGATAATAAAGAAAATAAGTCAAAAAAGAGAAAGAGAGAGTAAGAGAAAAGGAAAGAGAGAGAGAAAGAACAAAAGAGAAAAAGGAAAAGAAAGACAGAAACAAACAGTGGTTATAGGTATATTTGTTTTATTTGCTTGCTCTAGGTTACATCATAATTTCTTCCTTCCCATAAACTGTCTTTCCTAATCTTCCACTCCATTCATCACAAGTTTATTTTTCTCTTTTTTCATCAATAAATTCATAAAGAATTTCCAGTCACTGATAAATGTGGTTGTTGATCTTTCTCTAATCAAACAAGTTATTCTTGCCATCACTGCTAGTTCTGTCATTTTCACCAATCAATCTTCTGTTGCAATATTTCAAAGTTTTTTTCCTCATTTTTTGTGTGCATAATCTTCTGTGGCTCTTTTCTAATTGTCTGTTCATTAATCCTAGCAAGAAAAATACTTCTCTCAACTGATTGTCGATCTTTAAACTTATTTGTATATATGTATGTGAACCAAGATATTTCTGTCTTTTTACAAGTCCACTAAGCATGACAATATGTCTTTTCATGTTGTCCACATTTCCAACATAAATTTGAAGTACCTTTATACATGCTACAGAACTTTTCTGGCATCATATACCAATCATACATTATTTTATAAGAATTCTCTTTTGAGCTGGGTTAACATTTTACAAATTAACATAATGTAAATTTCAGTACTTTTAACCACATCTTTTCCCACTGTTCCCTCAGTATATTGTGGCCCATTTTATCATCTAGTCTTTGATTTGTTCTTATCCCATTTCAAATTTCAATAAAAGTTATACATTTCAGCTATTACATCAGAGGTGGTATCCAGCAGGTTTTGACCAGTTCTGGAGAACTGGTAGCAGAAATTTTAACTAGTCCAGAGAACTGGTAAATACCATCTCTGACTGGCCCC